GAGACACATCCTCTGTAACACTCCATGGAGATACGCGAGTGGAGGACTGCCCCTGTAACCAGAATCTCCTAGACGGAGAGCGTGACTTGAGTGTATAGATCTATACGGGGCTGACTACCCTGCACCTCGCGGCTAGCTACAATGGGACCGGCAGGTCTACGAGTGACAAAAGTCATCAATTTTTACTGGACTTCTTATTGTCATATCTAGTCTATCGTATGGTTATGGAACTCGCAATTTAGATAACAGAGATTTACTTGTTGGTAATAATGAACTTAGACCATTAGGTATGGGTCCGTTATGGTGGTGTTATAACAAGAAGTAACAAGAAGAGGGGGTGGTGTTCATGGTGTTATAACACCATGTTGAGAGGAGAGAGATAGAGAGAGATAATTTGGTAGCCAATAGAAGAGCTCGTTTCTTCTTGTCATGGAGACAACAAGAAGCACCACAACAAGATGCTACAAGAAGTGGGGGCGGTGTTCTCCCCCGTCACGACGCCGTTGAGGGTGCCACCTCAGCACAACGAGCACGCCACAATGCCCATACCGTCTGCTCTTAGTAAATTCATAACCTTAGAAATTAGTTTACTATTTTGATAGTTTTATATACGTGTTAAAACTAACATACCTTTCAAGGATAACCAGGCTTTCAGGAAACTTCACACAAACATTACAAGTATGGTAGATTCATGTACATTTCATTCAGATTCGATAACCAACCACAAACTTTTAAGGAAAATAAGGGTTTTTCCTCGGATAACAGAACTTGTTCTTAACTAGATTGTGTAATAACTAGATAACAAACTGTTCATAACCAGATAGTGTAACAAACAGATAACTCAACTTTTCATATAAGAAAATATGGGATTTTCTTGGATAACAACTTTTTTAGAAGACCAAAGAAAGCTTATTCTTTTACAGAAACAAACCGCTTATGAACTCACCAACTTTATGCTGATATTTTTAAAACTGCTTGTATTCTCAGGCTCTCCTTAGACAGGTATCCCACATTCTTTTGCAAAAGATGGAGCATATGGAAGTCACGTCTTTACTTTTGTTTAAACTAATGTATCTATAAAACATGTATTACTTTACTTTCAAACAAATGTAATGATTCTATGTAATGTAATGTTTTGTGTTTCCTATGCTTAGTTGTGATACTTTACATGACGTCCTCCGCCCCGGAACATTTCCGCCATCGGTTTCGGGGTGTGACAGATTCGTATCAGAGCCCTTGTTTATAGTGAACTAAGTATACCAAACCTTACATGGTATAAGACTATAAACACTAAGGGGCCGAGTGCTCTGAACTAAAAGTATACTTTAAAATATAAGTATTTTTCAAAAGTATACAAGAATACCTAAACGTCAGATACCGTAACCTCGAGTAGAACAAAACATAAGTAATTGGGTGTTGTACGTTGTGGTTAAACCTGGGTAGTTATGTAGTCGTGTCTAGGGTCAATATAGCCTGATCAACTATATTCATTCGAGACACGGCCAACATGTGCTTGGGAGTGACTGTGGTGTGCAACATGCCTAAAACTTACCAAATATCCAAACAATGAGTCGTCGTCGCAACAAACCATAAAAAATACTATAGGAGTATTTAGACTAAGCCGAATACGTTGTAGAAATTCATTCCAAGTTTTGCTATTCATTCTTTCCTTAGCGAATTCCCTTGTTTTGGTAGTTTTTCCTATATATTATCTCTTAGTAGAACACTTTATCTGTTATAATGAGATATCTCTTGTTTCATATCTCATTATTTAATTCAGAGGACTTACCATTCTCTCTTTCCTAATCATTTTAGATCAATATGCCTCCAAAGAAAGGACCCAACTTAAGGAACAACAACCCTCCGCCACCACATCCTTCTCAATTCGACCCTGTCTTATTTCAGGCAGCTGTTACTGCTGTAGTAACCGCTGCAATGTCACACTTGAACCCTGGCAAGTTTGGCAGACCAGGAAGTAACACCTATCCCCAAAACCATGAAGATGATCAGGGGCACCAAAATGAGTGTGATGAGAGTAAGAAGATTTTCTGGAAAAAGCGAAAGGGTCAAAGTTCAGAAGGACCCTCCAAGAAGCACAAAACTGTAGCAGTCCAAGCTGCTACTACTCCAGTCGCTGCATCTACAGCTCAAGCACCTAACAATAGGTATGCTGGTAACTTCCCTTGGTGCAACAGGTGCAGTTACCACCATCGTATCCCTGGCCCATGCCGTGAGTTGATCTGCAACAGTTGTGGCAAGAAGGGTCACCTTACGCGAAATTGCAGAGCACTAACTCAACCAATCAATCAAGCTTCCAGAGCGGGTATCGATCAAGCCTGCTATGAGTGCGGTGAAATCGGACATTTCAAGCGAAAATGTCCAAGACCAACAACCACGAACAACGTCGGCATCGTTCTGACTATAAAGCAGGAGGAGGCAGTTGCCGATCCCACCGTCGTCACGGGTACGTTCCTTCTCGACAATTCTTATGCATGCATCCTTTTCGAATCTAGTGCTAAATAAGTTTTTGTTAAACCATTCATTCAAACATCTTCTTAAGCATAGTCCTCATCTAGTAACCGAAAAATTTACCGTCAAGATGGATAATGGTGAGAAAGAGAACACTGACGATATATTCATAGGCCGTACCCTTACCCTAAATGATCATTCTTTCCCCATTGACCTAATGCCAGTTTCCATAAAGAGATTTGATGTTATCATTGGCATGGATTGGTTGAGTCCCAATCATACTGATATCCTTAGTTTTGAAAAAGCCATCCATCTTAACCTCCCCTCTGACCAAACTCTCATGATCTACGGCGACAAACTTAGTTCCAATCTTCGCATCATTTCGTGCATCCAAGCTCAAAAGCTTCCGCGAAATGAGTGTTACGCATTCCTAGATCATGTAATTAACGAGAAACAAGAAGTTAAAGACCTCGAGAGCATCCTCGAAGTCTGCAACTTTCCTGATGTCTTTCCCAAAGAGCTCCGTGGAATTCCTCCTGAACGTCAAGTCGAGTCTCGCATCGACCTAATTCCTGGAGCAAATCCTGTAGCCAAATCTCCGTATCGCTTAGCTCCAGTAGAAATGCAGGAGTTATCCAGTTAGCTCAATGAACTACTCGACAAAGAGTTCATCAGACCGAGTTCCTCACCCTGGGAAGCCCCGATATTATTTGTGAAGAGGAAAGATGGATTCTTTTGGATGTGTATAAACTACCGCGAGTCGAACAAATTGACCGTCAAAAACCGTTATCCTCTTCCTTGAATAAACGACCTTTTCGATCAACTTCAAGGAGCCAGTTACTTCTCGAAGATAGACCTCAGATCAGAGTACCATCAGCTTCGAGTTCACGAGAATGATGTTTCCAAGACAACATTCAGGACTCGATATGGTCACTACGAGTTCGTAGTGATGCCCTTCGGTCTAACCACTTCCTTGGTCATGTGGTAAGCAAGGAAGGCATACACGTGAACCCTTCCAAAATCAAGGCGATAGAGAATTAGTCAGTACCGAAGAAACCCACAGAAATCCGTCAATTCTTGGGTGTCGCCGGCTATTATCGCAAATACATTCAAAATTTTTCCAGAATCGCCAAACCCCTAACCACTCTGACACAGAAATGTGTACCCTTTTGTTGGAGTGAGAAGCAAGACACCACATTCCAAACGTTGAAGCGAGCCCTATGCAATGAACCTATTTTATCCCTTCCTGAAGGAATAGAGGATTTTGTTGTCTATTGCAATACGTCCAATCAGGGTTTAGGCTGTGTACTTATGCAAAGAGGAAAAGTTATCGCTTATGCCTCTAGACAGCCGAAGACATGAAGTTAACTACACGACTCATGATCTGGAGCTAGGAGCAGTGGTCTTCACATTGAAGAATTACAGACATTATGATGGAATGATCCATTGCTCGGGATCGGTTGGCTCAAAACTCTCTATATACTCATGGGGGAGAATGAGGTATGGTTGGTTGTCCTGAATCCACATGGGACCGTCGACCGAATCCCGGATGAGTTGCATTCGGCGAAGTGCGTGGCCGTCAAGGCTAGATGGGCCGGAAGCCTTCTCGAATGGAAGAGTAGAGAGATGAAGTTGAAGCGGTGGCCGAGATGCAATGAGGGTGATTAATCCCCCAATGAAAATGTCTCCTTTGTCCATAGTTGTGAGGTTCTAACACTTGGTGAAGAAAAAGGAGGCAAAATCCAGCCACAGACCGTTCTCACGAGTCATGCACCAAAGGAAAAATAATTCTGCCTTTGAAATTTGTCCCACTTCGGAGCGGGCGAAAATGGTGCATGTGAGAACTCGATGCGCTAGGCGCAAACATGGGTGAATTATGGAGGAGGCCTTTGACGAAGACGATGAATATTGTGGCTCATTGGTAATTTGTTGCCAAAAGTAATGTTCATTGAAGTTTTCGGGCCATGGGTCTTGTTGGTAATATAGGTTGTCCACTGGAGCACCCATCAAAGCGTTCACAACCCGATGTGGTAGGGATCGTTTCTCACCGAGCATTTGGAAGGTGACGGTTTGGGCTTCCTCCTCGGGATTGAATGTGGCAAGAAATTCCAAGGTGGGTTCAACATAGGTGGCGGCGCGGTTATAGAGGAATTGACCCCACCCGATGTTGTTAAATAACGCTTGGACTCCATCGAGTACCCCAAGACTAGCAAAAGATTCTCTATGGAGGAATTTTGTTGACTTAATTTGACGCTTATTTGAAATGAGAAAATCATAAGTTTGACGGTCTTCGCGATTCAACAAACGAAACGGGGGATCCTTGGATTTTCCTTTTGACCCTCCTTTAGAGGAAGTAGCTCCCGTCCCCGTCTTTGCACGTTTAGACATTTATTTGGGACAAATTCTACCAATAATAACTCTCAAACCACAACAAAGGCACACAATACCAACAACAAATGGGAAATTGATGTGTAAATAATCAAGTGAAAGGAGTGAAATTACCCAATTTCCTAGACCCGGGATGAATTAGTGCCACCAAAAAGATTTCATCAAGACATACCCCAAGCTTGCAATTTTGCTCCGTATTTGACGCTTTAATCGCTAAAACAACCCCACAAACGAGTTTCAAGATGACTTTCCGGCGAATGGAGTGGCGACACCCAGAATCAGACGGAAATTTTTCGTGAGTTTTTGCAGAAAGATTGGTATGATTAGAAAGCCCTTGAGGAGAGAAACAAAACCCCGTGCTCGGAATCTCTAATGGTGGTTGGAGTTGGCCGAAAAACGCGAAAGAAGGTGGTGGTGGTGGCGCCCGGAATTCTGGCCACAGATCGGACCGGAATTTGGGTGGGGTTTGTAGAGGGCGAAAAATGGCGAAGAATGGCGGTGGTTTCATGAGATTCTGATAGGTAGAACTCCGAGAAAGTGGATTTTTGTGAGAAATGGGTTTAGTGTTCTTGAGCTTCTAGGGAGAGAATGGAGGATTTTTTTAGGTTAGAATGAAGAAGAAGGGTGCTAGAGGTGTTTAATCCTTGGTCAAGGAAGGTCAAGCCCGGTCAATGTGTCACACCCCAAAAACCGAAGGCGGAAACATTTTCGGGGTTGACTCCACGTTGAGTATCAAATCCAATGCACATAGTAAGTAAAGTAAAACAACCATTACATTACATAAAGAAAAGTTTTACAATTATTTCAAAAGTAAGTTGTACAGTTGTGATACATAGTATATATTTTAACAAAATGAAACGGGTCTTCTGAGTATTCCGTCTTCAGACAAAAAGGATCTTCGGGTACCTGTTTTAACGCTGACCTGAGAACACAAGCGGTTTGAAAATTAGCATAACGCTGGTGAGTTCATAAGCGGTTTTTGTTTGTGAAATGTTCAAGTCTCCTTTCTGTTTCTGAAATGTTACACCCACCAAGAAAATCCCATATTTTATTAAAAAGGTTTGTTATCGTTTGTCAACATGTAAAGTAAAGTTGCACACAGAAAACATGTTATCTCTTGTGTAAATGTACAGTTAGGTTATGTGGTTTGACATACTGTTCTGGTTATGTACCAATGTATTCCCAGGAAAGTCCCATACCTTCCAGATTGTGTGTTACCAATTGTAAAAGATGTAAAGTTATCCGGTTTGTTGCCCTTTTCTGGTTATGTAAACGTTTCCCCAGGAAAGTCCCATACTTTCCTGAATGTTAGTTATCAATGTAAAAGATGTATTCCTGTTAGATCTGGTTATGTACAAGGTTTCCCAGGAAAGTCCCATACTTTCCTGAATGTTGATTACCGTATGTAAAAGATGTTTTCTGAATACGTGGTTATGTTCAATGTTTCTCCAGGATTGTCCCATACTTTCCTAAATGTTAGTTTCCAATGTGAAAGATGTATACCGAAACCAGGTTATCTTGTGAATTGTATAAAGTTGTTCAGTATGACTATAAGTAAACCTCTGTTATCCTAATTGCGAGTTCCATAACCATACGATGGACTTAAACCTGTGGCAATAAGTAGTCCACATCCTTATGAATTTCATCACCCTTGAACCATTTCGGTTCGGCTGTAGCTAGCACCCAGGTGTCGGGTAGTCAGCCCCGTATAGATCTATACACTCAAGTCACGCTCTCTAAATCCCAGAGATTCTGGTTACGGGTGTAGTCCTCCACTCGCGTATCTCTGTGGAGTGTTCGCCGAGGACGTGTCTCCAATCATACAAGATTAACAAATTTACTAGTAATGATATGATAGTCCTCCACTTGTGTATTTATGTGGAGTGTTACCGAGGACAAAACAGCGTACAGGTTTTATGTTCAAATGTTCTAATGTCATGCTTTTAGCTGATAAAATATGGAAAACCATTTGTGAAATATATATAAAACATAACAGTTAAAAATCCATTTCACAAATATATGTTTACGTGATCTGCATGTTCAAACGGTTATCAGTTGTAGCAATCAGTGTTAAAAGCATATAAAATGTGAAACACACACATGAAAACATGTTTTGAGTACAAGTAATCCCTTGTACTTTGCTTGTGTTACCCCCTGAAAATAGTGAAAACAGTGAAAAAGGGTAGGGGTATGAACTCACTAGATTCGGAAATGCTACGGTTTCGGACACTAGACGTTGGTTCGGGGCTTGATTACTCACGATGTCCCTATGTAAAATGTAATAATGTCCATATATATCCAATTAGATTTACAATCACTAATTATATGGAACATTACACTACAACGAGGTTAAACACCTCAAAACGAGCATTTGGAGTGACCCGGGTGACATCTTCGGACGTGACATGGCACTAGGGACTTGGGATTTGATTTTACTCCCCAAGAGTAAACATTTAAGGGAGTTTACAGCCACAAAACACATACATACATGAGTTTACGGACGTAAACTCATGTTGATGTGATTTTGAGTGTTTAATGGCTTGTTTGGACATGGGGATTGTTGGAATGAATTTCTCAAATGCCTTGGAATGGATTAAATGGACTTATACCATATTTAAGGGAGTTCACGGCTGTAAAATTGGAGTTTATGGTCGTAAACTCACCCATGGTCAAAAATAATTAATTTGAGATATAAGGAATAATCACATGTGATTCTAGTTAATTTTCCAAGCCTTGGTATGAATTTAGGGCACCATTTCACACACATTTAGGAGTTTACGACCCAGGAGCATGATCTATGGCTGTAAACTCTTATTAAGAGGATGTTTGATGTGTTTAAGGTCCCCAAACTATTTTTAGATGGTTCTAGGATTTACCACAAGGCTATTGGTTAAGTTTCAAGGCATTCTAACATGTTAAAAGGTGTTTACTCCCTATGTTTGAGGTGTTTATGGCCCAAGCACATGCCTTGGCTGTAAACTCTCTTTTGTCCCTCAAAATTCAAGTTTAAAGTGTTCCAAGTCCAGGTTTGTAAGCCTCAAAGTCGTATCTAAGTCCCAACAATGATTTGGAAAGTTTAATGGCTCAAAAACCCCATTATTGTGTGTTTACGGCCCAAGCTTACTCCTTGGCCATAAACACATGTTCCAGGTCCAAAATCTCAATTTAAACACGGATTTGAAGGCCTAAGAGGTTGAATAACAAGCTAGGAAGGTTACCTCTAAGATTTGGAGTTTTAAATCTTTGATTTTGGACCTTAATCTAGAGTGAGGAGAGAGGTTAGAGAGAGAGTAGTGAGATGAAGTCGAAAGCTTCAAATGAAGGCTTAGAACACTACTAAGTGTTGGACACGATGCAATTCTACCCGATATCGGCGTTAGGCGAGGCTTTTGGTCGTACCCGATTAAGTTGTCGTAATCTGATATGGTCGATTTTAGAAATATTCCGATCGCTAATATGGGGTGTTAAAATGATTTCTAATTGTATTAAGACACCCATTAAGTCATTTTAGATCGATACGAACTAATGACTTAATTAAACGGCAAAATCGGAATCGGATTTGAAAACGACGATTGGTTGCTTGAATTGAACTACGAAAAGAGTTACAAGAAGTGGTACGGAATTTCGGGTTGTTACATTATCCCCCCGTTAGAGGGAATTTCGTCCCAAAATTCAAAGTTAAAACACGAGACAAGATATAAATCATGGATCTGGAAAGAGTTGTAGATACTTCTGTTTCATTAAGTCTTCCCGCTCCCAAGTGAATTCCGGTCCCCGCTTGGCATTCCAGCGAACCTTCGCTAACGGGATGCGACTTTGCTTTGTACGTTTGACTTCTCGATCCATGATTTCGATCGGTTCCTCCACAAAGTTGAGGTTTTCATTGATCTCGATCTCGTCTATGGGAATCGTTAGGGTTTCATCGGATAGGCACTTTTTGAGATTTGAGACATGAAAGACAGGATGAATGTTACTGAGTTCGTGAGGTAAACGAAGTTTATAGGCTACCGGACTGATCCTGGAGAGGATCTCAAAGGGTCCAATGTATCTAGGGTTAAGTTTCCCACGTTTACCAAAACGTACAGTGCCTTTCCAGGGCGAGACTTTTAATAGAACACGATCTCCAACCTGGAATTCTAGAGGTTTTCGACGGTTATCAGCGTAACTCTTTTGGCGATCTCGTGAAGCTTTCAATCGGTCTCGGATTTTGGATGATCTTTTTGGTGGTTTCACGGATGATTTCAGGACCAGTGAGAGCACTGTCGGGGACTCGACTCTTGGCTAACTGTGTATCCCCCACCTCGGCCCAACACAGAGGGGATCTGCACTTACGACCGTATAGGGCTTCAAAAGGAGCATCCCTGATGCTAGTGTGGTAACTGTTGTTGTATGAGAATTCGATCAAAGATAGATGTGTGTCCCACGACTTTCCAAAGTCAATGACACATGCCCTAAGCATGTCCTCCAGGGTTTGGATTGCTCTCTCACTCTGTCCATCGGTCTGAGGATGATACGCCGTGCTCATATCTAGTTTGGTTCCAAGGGCTTTCTGAAGGGACTGCTAGAATCTGGAGGTAAACCTGCTATCTCGATCAGAGATAATGGATGCAGGTACACCGTGCAGTCGAACTACCTCCTGGATGTAGATTCGCGCGAGTCTTTCCATCTTGTATGATTATTTGATCGGAATGAAGTGAGCGGATTTTGTCAAACGATCGATAATTACCCAAATGGTATCGTACCCACTAGGATACTTGGGTAGTTTGGTGATGAAATCCATGGTAATCATCTCCCATTTCCATTCGGGTATCTCAGGCTGCTGTAGCAGACCCGAGGGTTTCTGGTGCTCAACTTTGACTTTGGCACAAGTTAGGCACTTACCCACGAGTGTAGCTATCTCAGCTTTCATGTTTGGGCACCAATATTGTTTCTTGAGATCCAGGTACATCTTGTCAGAACCCGGGTGAACAGAGTATTTGGTATTGTGTGCCTCCTCCATG